AATGACCTTCTGTATTACAATTGTGATTAAATACTTCACGATAATCAATTTTTTAAACTGAACATAAAAAGAACCTATGTGTAAAACGTATCTAAAAATGAAGAATATGTCAGGTGAAGATTAAAGTTTAAAAAATCTTTACATTGGTAAACTTCTTAATGTTTTATCATAAGAATATAAAAATGACTTATTTAACTGTTTTAATTACACATCATGAACCTTTGTTCATTTTAAAGTTAGAAAGTATGACTAGAACTAAATTTTCATCAGACAACTGATTAACTCTAATCGATATCTTTGGTACAACTAATGAAGTTATTTTAGGATAGTAATGATGATTTATAGCTCATGTGGATGATTTTGGTGAAGTCTCGTTCTCTAAGATGGATAGTTCAGTTATGAACCTTTATTGTTCTTCCGAAAAAAATATCAACACAAATTCCAGGTGGAAGTTAAGTACTCCACTGGCAGCTTATTTTATCAACTGATTACTGTCAATCAATGACCTGTCGTTATATTTATGGTTATTTTGATAGTCTACCCCTCCGACTTAATTCTTTTTCCCCTTCATTTGCTTCTGCATGAACACCAGATAGCTGTTAAATGCTGCGATGTATCTTTGTCAGTAGCGATCTATGTAGACATTTAGGGACGCACGTTCAACAGAGTAATCGTTGAAGTTTCAGATATAAAGAACGCAAAGGAAAAATAGAGGATCTTTGGGAGCCTGATAATAAGGTTGTTCAGTAGTCAATAAACACGTCGAAATCAACCCGATTTACCAACCACTTGAAAATTCGTGGATAAATGTGGGGTCAGGAATATGGTCGGAGACGTAGACTATAAAAATAAACACTCATAACAACAGGTCGTAAGCCGACAATAATCAGTAAAGATCAAGGTCAACGAAACGAGCTGTTAGTGGAGTACCTAACTTTCAACTGAGCTTTGTTCCAATGCCTTTGTTCAGAAGAATAGTGAAAGCTTCAGGATTAAATCAATCGTCTCAAAGAATGTAAATCTACCAAAAAAGTTATTTTTACTTAGAAACTACTGTAACCGTATTCTAATGTTCAAGAGCTGAATTTTTAATCTAGTGGTATTTCTCAGGTATTCACTCTATTTCATTTTTAAGTCTTGATATTATCCAAAATTATATCCAAAAGGATATAAATTTTAACTATAATCTCGAAAGTATGTCTGACCTAAAAACAAATGTGGTAAATTACATACTTTGTCACTAATAGCTAATCTGAGAAAACAATTCTTTCTTTCACTGTAATTAAACTGTTAATACCATCTAAAACAGAATTAACTTTTTGAGACGTACATTTTCTTAGAAAAGTGATTTGCGAAAGCAGCAGAGATTTTGCATTAGAAAATTCTGATTTTCAATCTACCATACTCTCATGTTTATTTATGGCCGAAAAGAAATTATCGTATGAAATGGATGGAATGGAATAAATCTTTATTAGTAAAAATGGTTATAACATGATATTAGTAGTAGTTACCAGCTCTAATCATTACTTTACAGCTATATCTGGAATATAATTTGAATGTCTTAATGCTACAAAATTGATAAGACACCTAACATAAAATAACTGGGAGGACTTTACATATTAAAGCAAAGTGCACAGAACTGTTATTTTTGTTTTATTGAATATATTAAAACTTCAAAGGTTTCATATTTTGTAATTTTATTGATCAATATTATTTTTAATCGTATTTCCATGAGTGATAGTCACTTATAATAATTTCCCAAAACGATAAACCTTCTTGAGGAATTGTTATTGATAATGATTATATTAAATTAGGGCTATTGGTATGTTTTAAAATTAGCATTATTTAGCTGCAAGGAAATAATTTTACCTTACTAATTACAACGTATCGTAGGTTTTACAGATCAGTCAAAACCCGGAAAAACTGCTGATTTAATAGCGCTTTTCGAAATGCTAGGAAGTCAGTATGGCAAGCTATATCTAGAAAATTCTGACCTTTTGAAACACCATCACCAAATCAAACAAGTAGAAGTTCAGTAAGTTTAAAAGTACTCTTTTTATATGTATCCAATTTAATCATTGTATCCGTTAACTCAAAGTGATACGCTTACATTAAAATTTCGGCACATATTATTCGGTTCCCTAATTTGAAGTATAAAATATCACAGCGTGGTTTTATATTTGTCGCATCAGTGAAGTGAAAAAGTTGTCATCAAAAAATTCGACTTTAACTATGGAACGTTTTGGTAAAGTCCTCTATTTAGTCAGGTATTAATGGAATTCACAACAAAAATAATAAAAGTAAGGTGGCAAGAAAGCATTTCAAATCCTCATAAAATATTATTTCCCATGAATTCATAGCCACACATCAAGGTGAATTTCAAAAATCCCTATTGTTATTTCGATTTCCACCATTTGAGTTCTTTTGTTATTTGAGATCTGAATTTGGTCCGATAGTCGTTATCCCAATCCAATAAGCATTGTTTTGATTTTAATTTAGATCATGAACTGACCGATGTTGGACCACCACTAAAAACTTGGGAGCACTGTACGGCCGTTTTGTCATAGTATGGGACTCCTCAGTAGTTAAAGATATACTTTGATAACGAATTTCAACTAGCGTGGATCTTAAATCGGTTAAGTGCAATACTAAACACTCCCTGCGTCTATTTGCTGTCTGTTTATCTAACTTGTTATTTAAAAGTAAAATATGTTTGAAATTTAGGCTGGAGCGTAACCATGTTTCAGTGGGATTAACTATGACTGGATGAATTTTTTGATCGTCACGTATATTTCCAAAACTACAAGTATTGAGTAGTAAATGTGTAACATTTTCAATTCACTAGACCATTCACATAGGTGTCAGTAGCATGAATTTGCAATACCTAATTATTTAAATACTTGTGAGTCAAGAATATTCGGATTATTCCAGCATCTACTTTTTGAATATCTCAGTGCTGCCTAACATTTTATCTTGCTTCTTAAAGACTAAACAGGCTTTATCGATAATGCCATATCTCTAAGTTTGTGATCTTACAACAACAGCAATTTATGCTGCTCTTAAGATAACAAAAATGTCTTTCTTCGTTCATGAGGATATGAGTCACTATCACTGTCTGTTAGTTTTCTCATCTTCATTAATATGTTTTCTGAGAATGCATGAAGTTTGATATGATTTCAGCTGAGAAGCCTAATGGGATGAGGAAGCGTGAACATTCATTAAGGACAGCTTGCAATACTGTTTCTAAAAGACATTTGTAGGTCTGTAACACACTTATGACACTGAGTTGCTCATGTCAATCGAAATATGATAGGGATAAACAGATTGACTGCAAGTATGTGTTTTGGAGACAGTATGAAATCTTACTAAAATTCGAAAATTGTTAAAAGCATTGTCGAAATCAATAAAACCAAATATCGAAGATATATTATAGTAAACTATTGGGAAATTGTCTGTTATAATTGAGTAGAATCAACACGTAATAAGCATGCTTTCTATGGTATAATGACACCAAACATGAAATTAATTTTCCATAAGTAATTGTCACTTCCCTTTCTAAATTGTTAATTGAGTCTCAATATCTGTGCAATTTTGGTACTGTGTAATATAAATGAGTCGTAATTAACTTCATCTTAACTAAAGACGTTACGATTTGGTTAAATATAGCACTCGCTTAAAAATCAACTAGTTGGCACTTGTTAACAAGGCATACCTACAATCGTGAAGGAACTGGTGATTCCTGCAGGATTCGAACCAGCACCATCTAGCTTCACAATACATTATTGCTAAAATCTTCGGGCCATTATTGATACCTTGCAGACTTAGATATCTAAATTGATTGATCACTGACTAGTGATAAATATCACTTTATTCTAGTCTAACTGACAAGTGCCAATTAGCAGTTAACCTATGTACAAAGTTTCCTACCGACTACTGTCAAGCACCTTAAATCGAAATCTAATGATTTTTGACAAGATAATAATCAAAATAAAACGTTTTAAATAGCATATGGTTGTATTTTGTTACGGTTCATAGTCTATATATTAAGTAGAGATATGGTTATGTAAATAAGCACGATCAATAACAGTTGTGTGTTCACAAATGCATACTTCTCAACTAACAAGACACCATTCACATGGATGTAAAGTATGTGTACGTAAATGCTTATTAGTGTGTGTTTATTACTTAGAAAACGTCGGTAAGTTTTAGAGGTTGATCAATAAATTCATTTATGCATTTTGACTTTAGTACACAATTTTGAAGCACACTCTTACCAACAGAATAATCAATTTCGAGCAGCTGACTGACTAACAACTGATTATTTTATCTATTCTATGAACATTTCTATGGAGTAATTAGTTGTAAATTTTAAAATGTTTAATTATGATATAAAATCAAGTAATTATATGTAGAATGTTTTGATTTTTAATGGGTTTTCTTTAAATGTAACCTTACTTATGGTTCACTAGAGAAGATAGGTTATGCTTTTCAGTCACTGTTTGCTTTCAGAAATCAAGATGTGTATTAAATGAGATAGGAAAATACTTTTTTTATCAGAAAGGGTATAGATGCTACATTCATGATAATCCATACATCCATAAAAATCAACAATTTCCAAAGGTAGTTTAGAGAGTTGTTTGTATGATAACTCATGTATATAAATCTATTAATGATTGATTATTGATCTGCTTAATGATTTCATGATCTAGAAGCAAAGTGCCAATAATTGCATACAAACAAATACTTTAAAGCTATATATATATATATATATATATATATATATATATATATATATATATATATATATATATATATATATATATATATATATATATATATATATATATATATATATATATATATATATATATATATATATATATATATATATATATATATATATATAAGTCAATCTTACTTATGACATGTGATACGTATAGAAATGATTTCATTTATCTATTTAGTGAATTCTTAGAAATAAAGACATTCAAAAATTACTAGTTACACATAGCATGTGTGTATGATAATATATTATTGGTCAATTTACGTCATTTTTAAAAATAAGACTCACGGTAGCAATAATAACAGCATTAGAAAATATAGTAGAGAGATTACCTTTTATACCAGTAAAGTTCAAACAAATCTCTCATATGCCAGTAGGATTTTTTAAAGTACTAATGAGAATTTACATTAACTCAAAGAGCTTCATAAAAATAACCAACTTCATTTGTTAATGTTCTTTATTATGTATGGAAAATCAGAGAAATCACATAATGCACCATTTTTCCAGGTGTCACCTATATCCTCTCAATCATTATCTTCACCATTGTCATCGAAGAAGTCCAATCAAACAATAGTGAGTGCAAAAAAATTACACAATCCATTGGATAATGAAATCTTCCTAATACAACCACCGAACACTACTGTTTGTATTGGTGACAATAATCATAATAAAAACGAGGATTTTCAACACACTGTATGTCAAACAGTAAACAAGAAAAATGATAAGAGAAGCACTAAAGAGAAAAATAATGGTCGAAAATCGTCTTTATGTAGTCGACTTTTTCCTTGTTGCGTTAGTAAACAGTCTAAACCAGCAAAAAATTCTTCTTTTTTTACTAGACCAAATGATAACGACGATGATTTTGACAATACTGATAATCATAAAGATACTGGAAATAAACAAAAACTAATCACTGAGTCACCGTCTACAGAAGTTGATTATTTAGATAATTCAGATGAAGCTACTTTAAGATTAAAGGTAAGCATTGTATTTTCCGAAAACATTTTTAATGATCTAAGGTACGATTTCATTATATTTAAAGAAAACAAACAGATTCTACCTCTTTGTAGACACAAACTATGTGACATATGGGTGTGAAAGAGTAAAATCTAATATGAAATTGACCAGGTAATAAAATATATCATTTTAATGAAAGAGAAAAATTAGCAATTTTCGATCATTATAACAGCAATTAAAAGGTATACAGACATCGATATCACTAAGCACTATCATATGTGTAGGTAGTTTTACTGCCAGTCTCCGACGAATAGAATCCACATGGGGGTATAACACTAACATCGTTTTCAAACTTCTTGAAACATCGGTAATAGGAACTGAATTTGAAAGTTTTTCCGTTTCTACGATATTTGGCTAGACTAAAAACCATAAATTTCGACCAATATCCAATCTCCGATTTTATTAAAAATTAAATACAATTGTTTCTTGAAAACAGATAAAATGTAATGTTGAACGGACTTGAAATTCTAGAGGCTTTCACCATATAATCAATTATGAAATTCATATCCAGCCAAAAGAAACAGTTCTAAACTTCGAGGAAACTGCATTATCATCTGTTCCAAGTCTGATGCTATAATTATTCATGACAGTGATACTGTATATTGAGATTTATTTTAAGAATAACAATAAAAATAAATGGTAAAAACATTCTAATTTCCTGTGGGAAAATCAAAGAAAAGTATCTAAGCCTGACTGACCAATAGTTTATGATTAACAGATTCATTTTTAATGCTACCATAAATCTAGGTAGGTTTCCATGACTACTTATATGTTTGAATACATATTATTTGTATTTGCTGCTACCCTTTCTATGGTAAAATTTGTAATATGATTTCTGTGCTTTTTTTGGAATTCTGACGTTTTCAAACGGTTTTCACTGACCAGTTGTTTGATAAGTCATTTAGAAGCACATAGGCAGACTGGGACAATATCACATCTACTGAATGTCACGAATGTAAAAGCATTTGGCACATTAAGCGACCAGTATAATCACATTTAGAACAGTCATGTGACCTAACACATATTTTTTCTATCATATTTCCCACGTGTTGTCTGACCTTAATAATTATGAATCATCCAGAATAAATATTTGTTTATTAGCGCATAGAATAATCAATATTATCACTTAGCTTTTTTGATTTAGTAATAAACTGTACTATAGTAAACAATTTTACAAGGAATAATTAGTATACGTTTTATTCAAAAGTTGTCCATACTTGGGAAAGTGAATCCAATAGTGTTCACTTATCGTATCTTTAGTATGTAGTAAGTTCGCAGTATAAGAATTTGTGGTCGAGAGACATTCTAAATGTATCGAAATAAACGTACTTCTGGGGTTGTCAGGACTTGTTCTATTCCCTGTATACCTTATTATAAACCTGAAATAATTTTGTGTAACTGCTTTTTCTCGTTCTTTAAACTTTGTGACTACCTTTCCATAGTTTTTAATAACAAGAATTAAAACATAGATGCGAGTTCCGACCGCCTAAAATATGATAAACTCAGTCTTTTAAAAGTCGTTTATTTGTGATTTGTACAATCACAAAATTTTCCCCAAAATATTGGTCAATAAAAACCATGAGCAATAAATAATTTGATGAGCCAACAAAAGCAATCATCCTTCAACTAAGTAACGGTGTTACGAAAACGGGATTTTAAAGTTCTCATATGTTTGAGTCCTTAATAAACCTACATAGATATTTAACCTGTTTTCCTTCACCAAAATAAAATTATGGATTATATTCTCTTTGATTTAGATTAACCGAAAAGTTCCAACTCTATGTTATTTCTATCCATCTTTAATGATATTGGAACTTAATCTTATACTGTTAGTAATTGCCTAAAACTTATGCTGACTCGTGTCATTTGTTTGACGCCACTTTGTGGTAATAATTTACATTATAGTGGAATGATAAACAAATTTACAAACCAGTCTTTGTATCACAAGTATAAAACCGATTTTCATACAGACTGAAAGGCTATAAAATCAATAACTTTTATTATAATGCACTAATCGAAGCTTACGTGACGACCATTTTTATATTGTGTGATTAGTAATAGATGATTTGGTACCAATTCTCTAGAATAGAAAAAGTATAGGAATTGATTCCTCTCAAAAAATTCAAAAATAAGCATTTTTGAGCCCAATATTTGACTATTGTAGTAATCTAGATTGATTACATTCTAAAAATATTGTGTTTGATCAGTTAGATATATTCTGAAGGTACTACTGAATTAGTTTGTCATACAGCATGAAAACACACTAGACAAAACCTCACTTTAATTTTTTTACTATAAGATCAGGAACAATTAAGATCTATATTTCACTAACACGTTTTCATTATCAACAACCATCTGGTACCTTATTCCAGTATGGCTGTAAGTTGTATAACAACATCACATCGCTTATGCTTAGAATGAATTTATTTAGATATTAGCTCTCTTTCTCTATGATGAGTTGACTGTTTATATATTTTGTAAGTTTTTGTTACAACACCTAAAATGTATGATTAATATCTATTATATGAAAATAGCCACTATCTGTTTAAAATGTCAGCAATGATTTATGAAACTATTCATTTTGAATCAGAACTAAGCTTTTCATTAAGGTAAACAAATACCCAAGCGTGTAATTTCGAAAGCATTTCTATTAAAAAACTATATTCTACAGTACACTGAATCTAAGTAAATTTTTTCACATTTAAGACCTATTGAATGTTCGCATTCTGCATCTGCAGATAAATTTGTCATGATCCCATCAATATTAATCATGACAAATGCGCTCTTTGCATAACAAAATTTAACAGTTAATTACTTTTAACTCCTCAGTAATCATACAAATTCATCTAGTGTACAAACATCATAACTTTACATGTTTGTTTCTAGAATTTTATTTTATTTTATCCATGATCCTTCTTCATTTTATTATCATGTTTATCAATATTTTTAATGAATTACATTTATGTTTTAAAATCCTACTTTTATTTTTAACTCCCTCCACTCCACTGAATACCTTCTCCTCATACTTATCAGTTGATTCTTAATGACAATCAATTGATTTATTATAACGTCCAGAAGTTAATTTGAATTTCATATGTGAATAATACGTAGATGCCTTAATTTTATCACTTTTAGGATTCCTTTAGGACCTATGAAGAACGTCAAAAATATAAATCTATCATTCAGGATGCTCCATTGTATCAAATATATACAGAGAAGGCTTCAATCAGTGAATCAAGACGTGATGCACAAAGACTTTTAGGTTAGTCAACTTCAAGTGTAATTCTTATTTTCATTTATTGTTTTATATATTTTTCAGATGAATAAAGTTTTAATTTTATATCAGTAACTCATAATTTATATCTTGAATATTACCGTTAGCTGATCGAGTTTTTCACGCTCAAAATATCCAGTATCTAATCCATTAGGAGGCAGTATTAAACTGTGAATCACATTGGATTAGACTTTGAATTAAAATAAAGGAAATATTTCACTGATTTTTTCCATAAAACATGTAGTTGACCATACTGCATATTCCATCCTGGTTATCGTATATTGATAATTATTTCAGACAAACATTATGCGATAAACTGAAGGAAGATGCTTTTTTATATATTATATCAATTTACAAGAAAACAATTTTACAATATCGTAGTTTAGGTAAGAAAATTATTACATGCCAACAATTGTAAACAATTAAATTACTTGGAGAACAATTCAATAGACCATACGCTTCTATAGCCAACCAATTTCTTCAAAGATTATACTTAGTCTTAATTTATGTATTGACTGGAGAATAAATTCATGTGATTAGTTGAACTAATTTATCACAGATTCAAGGAAATTTCAAGGTGTTTCAAATTACCTTAGAAAGTGCTAATATACTAGTACAAATTTTAAAGTGAACTAATGATATTAATAATATATGTTCTATTGACTTTAAGACGAAAAGCTTAATGAGTTAGTATACAAAAATTGATATTTTATAAAGCTTTTGCTGCCTAGATAGTTTTTATATATCCAGGCTTATTGGTCAATTAAAATAACCGTATACATTATTTTCCGTGTTTGATAAATAATGACTTTATGGACCGTTGGTTTGAAAAATGATAGTAACTTTTAGTATAATTTGTTCTTATATATTACTGTCTAGCGCTCAGTAGTATTCGAAGCATCATACAGAAAGTGATATATGTTAGTTAAACAGTTAATACCGTTTTCTTGTGCCCAATATCATCAAACAAAACACAATGAATTCTAGCAAGGACTCAACATATCAGCTGTTTATATGAAGAAACTGATATTCCTGTAACAAATTCTGAAAATAAGGTTATAAACAAATTGTATATTTTAAGTAAAGGCTTCCTTAATATGCAAAACTAATTTATTTCCGCCATTGTACTTACAAAATCTGCTGCTCTTAATTTTTTGTAAGTTTCTTAACTAATATAGAACTATTTTTTGCTCTTTACATTAAAAAATAACGCTGACAATCGTTTATTTCCCTTATTAGAATAAAGAAATTAGAATAACCTCATAACTCATACAGTTTTATCAAACATTTGTTTCACTGTATTGCTAAAAGTAAATAAATCTGTAGAAAACTAAGGAAATATTACAATGTATGCCACCTATATTGACAGATATAAGTAGTGTGTAGCATCAATCGAAAAGGGAATGCATGCAAGTAGGAGATTGAGAAGTTTCAATTGAAGAGAACAGAAAGGGAAACAAAAAGTAATTAAAATAACAACATAATTAAAAAAACCATAAAGCATGTAAAGAACAGCTGATGAACGATGTATTTGATGCATAGTTTACATATTATACAAAATCACTCTGTAATTTTGCATTAAACAATAAATTGGTTATCCCCACTAAATCTGCGTTCACTTCAATATATGGACGCATATATTTATACAATAAGTTTAATTATCATAATCTATTGTATAATTCATGAATTTCTTTGTCTACATTATTTGAAATATTTTTAATTATATTCCAAAACTTATAATAATGTAAGTTTAAGTACAGAAATTTACAAAAACTATCTACATTATTCTGATCAATTAACAAAATACATTTACCGATACATATATAAATTTGTCGTCCTGCTTTTTAGTGGTTGAAATCAAGTTGCTTGAATAACACATCACTATTATTATCATTGTTATTATTATTACTTGTGACTTTCACTCTATTGATCAAGAGATAAGGGGATTAAATGCGGCCTATGCTCTTCCACGAGGAGTAACAGGCGTAAGTAGTAAGTAATGAGTATTTGAACAACTATTTATTCTCTGTTATAAACAATTCACCTCACTACTGTTACCAACAAATTAAACAAATGACTATTAAGGAATTAATAATAAAAATAATTTAATGTTTCAGCGAAAAATTCATCTATCAGCTCAACTAAAAAATTTTTTATTCATGATGAATTATCATCTTCATTTTAACATAGTTTTTCGGCCTTAATGAGCGTTCGATAAGCAAGATATAAACGGACTAATTCACTTATAAATGAACTTTTATATCCTATTATAATTTTATATCCATCTGTATCATGAATAATTAGATGATTAATAATTTTTCAATTGGAATTAATTATCATTCATTTAACACTTATTCCTAATGGTTTTCTTTTTAATTTCGTAGACATAAAGTCACATGTCTACTTATGAATAAACGAATCATACAATTAGATTCTTTAATTTTTTAAATGAACAGTCATTCCGATTACATGCATATACAGATATATTAGGAAGACGTTTATGCGACTTGTAGAAATATAATGCTAATGTAGATAATAACTTGTATTCTGTCTCAATCTATATACACTTGAACATACTAAACTATACTAGATATATAAAGAACCTTAGTTAGATTAAAAAGTCTTTCTAAGAAGACTAGAAAATGTGAAACTCAATTGATGAATGTATCAATGCTTTGTGCTCAATAAATTTTCCGAATAATTTGGATTTTTATCCATTTAGAAAAATAAATTACTTGTTTGTTTAAAATCAATATTTAACTGTCATTAAATTGTTTAGCTCTCGTTCAACCTGGCTCTTTGGATAATCCATCAAATAATTTAAAATTTGATGATGAATTATTTACTGCGATAGATGGTGATGAATCCGATCCAAATAATCAGTATTCACAAAAAGTACCTAGTAATTTGATAGATAGTCAGGAATCATCGATTCGTATGAAAAATTTTGAGCGAAGAGATTTGCCATTTCATCCACAGAATAGCTGCACTTCCTCATTCAGATCAAGGAATAGTGACTCACTGAAAACCTCTTCAGTTAAGCGGGCTCAATCAAATTCTAATGCTAGTGAAAGAAGTGGAAACCAAAACTTTATTTCTAAGCCGCGAAGACAGACTCAAGAAGTTCAGAATTTCGTGAATGAAGTTGCTGGAAATGGACCTAATCGTGTACAGTGGTCTGAAATGCCTCAAGTGATCAGCACAGGTTTGGCCAGGGACCTACCTGATTATCAAAAAAAGTTGCAAGAGGTCTGTTTTGATTATCTTATCATTTACTGTGATCACTATTCTCGTGTAATTCCGTATCTGATTCTGATAATGATATACAAGTTTCCTGTGCGCGGGCCCAACATAAAATAATTGAATAAGAATGATGCTTTATTAGATAACTGAATCGATATAAATATATATGTAATCCTTCTGAAAGTTAAGCCATATATTCGACGTATAATGAGTATTCCGTTCCTTAAGAAAGAAAGCTAACTCTTGGATAATACCGTGAGATTATCGTTTGCTCATTGTCTGTTCTACCCTCTGCATCAATTAGCAACAATAATAACACTAAATTAATTACTAGAAATAATACTTCCAGCTTTTTCAAACGACCAGTGACAAACTAGCTCCGCTTTTTTATTATTTGAACCATACATCCCACAACATTTTAATTACAACATAAGTTCGCAACGATAAATAGCCGCTAGGAAACTCTCAGCTGGTTTTAAGTATATCCCAATGAAATAAATGTATAAATAAAATTAATATGACCTTATTAAAACAGGCTAACTAACACTCATTTCTCTGAAGTACACAGTCAATGATAAAAATCAAAATTATCATGCTTCTACTAGTATACTTAAAATTTCTGGTCACGATGGTAAATCAATTGTAAAAAACAACGATAAAATCACGATTATTTGATACTGATAAACCGCGAATGCATACTAAATTGAGAACTGTTCAAAAAACTGAATCTTATTACTTAATATAATGCATGGTGATTTCCATCCTAAATGACAGTTAAAAGACTAGAATGTTTTTCATATACAATCGAGTTATGTTGCTTGACATTTCGAAACGAAACATGAACACATGCAAGATCATAAATTAAAAGGACATAACGAAAAATTACATATATAACCATTTGATATGAAGTGAAATTTTTAAGTTACTAAATATCAAAGCAGATTACTGACTATTGATGTCTATAAAGCTAGCTACTTATCAAAATATAGTCTGAATCAATTCATTCAAATAGTGACCTAACAATATTCATTATGTATAATATTCTGGCGTAAGTAAGTAAGGTTAAATATTTCACAGCTTATTATTACAACTTCGTAACTGGGAAAACAGAACACAATACAGAATAAAAATGTTAACGTAAACATAGATTACCGAGTGAGAGTTTTTCTTCAACCTGCAATCCTTTTTTGAAACCATGAGTGCTAATACACGTTACTTCTTAAACAATCGTCTAGACATTATAAAAGTACTAGTTTATTATCTAATTTCATACAGTCACTAAACAAAATCGGTTAGATAAATATAAATTCTTAGTGTCACTACATTGAATAACCCAGCTGACTTATTTGTTTGACTTCAGTAACAGATTGATGGAAAAAATGACCATGAGTGTTGTTGGTTTCCGTAAATTCAAAAGTAGACAATTGCCTTTTCCAAAAAGCTGAAATTTGAAATTTTCATTTGACGTTTGAATTTAATATAATAATTGGTAGTATTTGATTCATGTAAAGCAAATAATCAGGTTTAGCGTTTATACTTTTCAAAGTTATGTGACATTTCTGTTGCATAAAAAAATTAGTGGTATTCTTGACACCGCTGAGTGAATGAAGAATTGGACCCTGTCATCTTACTAATTCGTAATACCAAAATGATTATCTCCCTTTTTCAGGCACTGTTTGAAGTTATAACGTCAGAAGCATCTTACTATCGAACCCTGCATATTTTGATAGAAAAGTTTTATAAAGCTCAGTGTATGCAGCCAGACTCTAAAACGTCTGTTATAACAGCTATTGAAAAACGACACTTATTTTCAAACATATCGGAAATATTTTTCACTAGTGAAACGTAAGTTCAGATATTCATGTAGTTGAATCTTTTAGCCCTTGTGTAATACCTATTTTTACTTGAGAAATCATTCGAAATAATTTAATCAACACTGGATTTTGTATTTTGTTACACAACGTAAACGATTGTAACAGTCTGCTTATCAGTCAACTCACGAGTAAGAAGGAGTTGAAAGGATTTCATTAAAGTCTTCCTACTAGTTACAAAATCTCCGGTTAATTTTAAACTCATACTTGTGAATGGTTAATAAAGACATACAGTGATTAGGATAAATTTAAGCTGATCTACGTCTTCCGTTTTGAGTTTGCTTTCGAGTTATCAATTTAAGTAGTGAATGAAATCCAACCCTTTTACAACCCTTGACCTTGTGGTTATCAAATCATTATACAGCCTAACTAAGTTCTTACTGTGAGTGTCCAACAACGTCAGATATTCATAACAATAAAAAAAATAATTCACCCCCCTCAGCATTAATAGTCATAAGCGAGAATTTCTCCATTAAAAATTATAGTAGTTCCTCATTTCTATTTTGGCTTACCGAATAGAAGGACAAACTAATAATAACAATCAACACAAATCCCTAAACTGACAATAATAAACAACATTTTTACTTAGATCAGGAAATTCCTTTCAGAATCATGACATTCAGCTTAATCATCCATTGCTGAAAAACCTAGTTTTGTGGGCCATTAAATAAATTAAAGTTAAGGTATCAAGCAGATTCGATAGGCTTATTTGCATTAATCAATAGCCTTTTGGTAAAATGTTTCGATCGACTCTAAACGATATTATAAATGAATAACAGATCATTTATTTTTACATTATACATGAAACTACTAATGAGTAGTACATACCATTAATAGGTAAAGTGTTTAATTCTGTGACAAATTAGTGATAGGTTTAACTTTTGTATATTCTTTTTATTATTCTAATAAATATTCGAAATGACTAGATTATTATGGTAAATAAGAACTGATACATTCCATCTTTACGTTTCCATTTAATTTTGTTAGTTTTCTTAAAAATTCGTTTTATCATTCTAGTTATTTATCGTCAAAATTTTGTTTATCTCAATTATTTAGATTTCTTCGAGATATGGAATTATATTTTATTCAAAATCCATTGATACCTCAATTATGTGAAATTATTTATGAACATACTGAGAATCATTTTGAAAATTATGTAAAATATGTACAAAATCAAATGTACCAATTAAGAACATTAACGAAATTATTGTAAGTCATCATTAATAATAGATTGTATCATTTTAGAGACCCTACAGAAAAAAATTAATGCAAAAAAAAGTAGTAAATTGAAAGTGTTTTCACTTTTATAACGAAACATTTCCTGTATATAGTCTATCACTTTTTTTTAAGATGACATATGTATCTTTAGAAAGTTAAATTGAAATGTGTATTGATACAAAGTATATATTCGTCTTTGGTGGAGTTTTGTTCTCTGAGCTGGATGGTTTGGTCGTGGAGCTTTCATCGTTCTTCTGAACGACATCATCAGCACAAACTTCAGATAGAAGTGAAGTGTTTGAATTTCTCCATATGTGTCTCAAAGCTTGTTCTGTGCACCTCGACGTTGATCAGAAGAACGATGAAAGCTCCACGACCAAACCATCCAGCTCAGAGAACAAAACTCCACCAAAATCATCCACCTGAGCTACAAATCTTCTCCACCATCTATATTCGTCTTTATTAATAAGATACCGTCATCCTAGAAAGAAAATAGAAAATTTCAAGTGTAGTTCAAAGAATCATGGTTTTCAAATGTTCTATTTAATAGACAACAAATTATTGAATTACTTATGGGTAAATGAACAATAATTATCTCTGAAAATTAAAGACTCATATCAATTTTCATTAAATAAAAATTCATTTTATTTCAAATCTTTCCATTCGTTGCAAATAATCTACAACTAGAATAAACGATCAAATTTTTAATATAAAAAAAACACATGTAAATTGTTTACGTTTATTTCAAAAACAGAAATAGACAGTGACAAATACAAATCTAAATAGTAAAACTTAGTAAATGATGTCGTAAATTATCGTTAGCATAAATTTATATTCGTATTAGGTGTCTTACGATTACTAAAAATGAAAAGTGACTGTTACTGATAATCATATAATTTCTAAATAGTGAATAAAATCATTTGTTATATTCACATTATATTATCATTTTGATGATTAAAATCTCCCTCAATAAATTGTTGAATGAAAATTTTCTCTTCATTTTTATCATTCTTTATTTAGAAAGTAATAGTTTTCTATGGAACTGAATAGAGGCAGCACGGAAAAATATATCAGGGATTATATGCCTTTTCGTAACGTGATAAAATATTTTGAGTATTATTTTTACATTTATATTATTAGGGAATAAAAGCTAATGAAACTGATCTACGTCACAAAATCTTACTTACGCCTGTTACTCCTAATTCAGCATCGTCCGCCGACCGGCATTTTTCAACCCACTCTGTTCTGAACCTTTCTAGTTCTATCCAATCGTTATACATTCTTGTCATGTCTGTCTCCATTTCTCGCCTTAATGTGTTCTTTGGTCTTCCTCTCCACCTTTGGCCATAAGGATTTCATGTGAGGACTTATCTTGTGACGCAGTTGGGTGCTTTCCTCAATTTGCATCCTATCCACTTTCAGCGCTTCTGCCTCATTTCTTCCTCCGCTCGGATCTGGTTTGTTCTCTCCCACAGTAGGTTGTTGCAAATTGTGTCCGGCTAACAGATCCGAAGTATTTTGCGTAGGCAACTGTTGATAAACATTTATATCTTCTGGATGATGGTTTTCATAGTTCTCCAAGTTTCCACCCAATACAATAAAACTGTCTTGACATTTGTATTGAAAATGCTGACCTTGGTGTTGGTTGACAGTTGTTTTGATTTCGAGATGTTCTTCAGTTGTAGATATGCTGATCTTGCTTTACTGATCCGCGCCTTCACATATACATCCACCGTGTTTATCAATGATGCTGCCCAGATATGTAAAGGTTTTTATATCTCTAAAATCTTCTCTGTCAAGTGTGATTTGATTGGTGCATGCTGTGTGGTATGCCACAAAATCTACATTCCAAGAATTGCTTAAGTATTACCAATAGTATAATTAAAATACCAATAAATAAATTTTAAGTTAACTTATATAATTTTCTTTCAGATCTTCTCCTGCTTTTGTAGAAGCTGTTCGCTTAATACAGCAACAACCAAGCTGTGGATTCCTAGATCTTAATTCCTTCCTATTACTTCCAATGCAACGTGTTACACGTTTACGTCTTTTATTGACTGCTATCTTACATTATGCTCCTAAAAACGGTGTTACATATCAAAGTGGTTTGGTAGCCCTTGCATCTATAGAAAAAGTAAGTTTATGAATAAATACTTTACTTTTTAGAATGACGTCATGGTTAAATTTAAGTTAGAAACTATGAAATATCATAAAACTTCTAGGCCAATTAGTTTATGTATTTCAGTGTCCGTAAATATTTATAACTTCCAATTTAAAATATTTCAAGTTTTATTAAATCTTATAATACTACTTGATTTCTTGCAAAATGATAGAATATCAAACACTAATCAAATGGTGCATTCAGATCCTTCAACCTTTTTTACTGTCTATTATCTCTCAACAACACATATTATACAAGATTATTTGATGATAAAACTAGAGAATATAACTATTTTCTTTAATAAAACAGTTTATATTACTAGTTTTGCATTCCCTAAACTTTCTTCTAATCAATGAATTTAATTACTGTTGCTCTAATTCGGGTTAAAGTTTCTAACAAATCGGTATGCTTATAAATTGACAGAAAAGTCTCATTAGACTCATGCATTGACAAACAAAATCACTAAATAATTTTCTAGGAAAACTCAATTTTTCAGAGAACTGGTAAGATGAACAGTGTTAATCTGGCTGTTCGCTGATCTTTTGTAGCTGTCCGGCCTTAAACAATCATCTAAATGTAGAGTTACTTTACAGAATGCTTGCTTGAATTTCTGGTCTACTTGTTCCTCTCATCTAAATATTTACAAGTTATCTTTTTTTATTTTGTTTTAACACACTATACCTACTGATCGCATAACCTATTCAAACACATTTATGAATAGTTTACGACCAATCATGGTGAACAGAACACGGATGAAGACAAACGAATGTATTCAGCACAAAATTACAGAGTCACTCGATAAAATAGAAAAACCATGCAGTAAATCGTTAATTTGCAAAATATCAATCCATCATATCAAACCGGACTGTTCCTGTTGCAAACATCAATCCATTGTCCCACATTTTATTGTTCATGCGTTTTCTTGCAAATTTCATTGTGTTTTCGCTCTTCTTTTCTTAATCTTCTTCCGTCTTCTGCTGCCAAACATTACGTTTTTAACTCGCGTCATATACTACTTACACCAATGTAAGTAGCACGCATCACACAATCACTTCACAAGATACAAAAAAGTACAATCACAGACATCGTGGTGGCTGGTAATTTGTATTGAAAGGAATGAATACTAATCAGATATCGATTACTGAACTTCTAAATTCTAACTGCCAATCACTAATTATTACGGTGGACTATCTTCGGTTCCTGAATGTTTGTGACTTATACAGGTCCTTTTTACGTCAGTCATCTTATGTCATGCTTCCTATATCTACAGGTTTGAATAATAATTGTGTTCCAATTTTCACTAAAACTGACGTCCGAAGGTGTCTCCAGTCACTTAATTCATCCCAATGTTTAGGGCCTGATGAAATCCTAAACCTCTGTTTTAAGAAGTATGCTGACGTCTTGCATTATCCATTCACAAGCATCCTCAGCAGATCCTTCTTAACTAATCTCACACCGAAAATGTGGAGAAAGATTATGATAACCATAATAACTAAGAAAGTATCTGGCGATAAGAATGTGAAATTTAAATTCATAGTAATAACTTCATCTTTCCTCAAAACAACGAAAAACATTTTGCCACTGCCACTTCAACCTGCACTAGAGGAGCACATTGATCCGTATAAGTTTTCTTACAAATGCAAAAGAGGCATCTTCGATGCTGCTGTTGTTCTGCATCATAATACAGTGTTCAGCTTGGAAAAGGTTTGTTCGATGCGCTTTTCTGGACTACACTTCTGCCTTTGACTCTATTCTAAAACAACTTCTACTTAACAGGTTAATCAGTGTCAATGATGACAGCTGGATAACCATCTGGCAATGTTTTACCACTCTGGAAGAGAAACTTACACTGTGTTTGGAGGAAAGTGTTCAACGTCACTGCTGTTTCATGAAGGTGTGCCACAAGTAGCTGATCTCTCCTCTATTCTTTTATCTCTTTTTGCATGATCTGCCATCTTCCACAGAAAACACTTGTTAAATATCAGGACGATCTCACTAAACGTATGCCGATTTCTACCTTTTTACATCCCTTTGAAATGAGAAAGTTGTTGTCTCTTATTCAGTAGGGGTCTGTTGTTAATAGTATCACACTTAATCCGTCTAAACGTCGGTCTGTTAACCTTAGTCTGAGACATGAATAGCACCCAAACACCTTGTTGGAATCCTATAAAGCTTGCATTATCTGAGCCTCTTTGATAAACACTGTGTCAAAAGTCATTTATCATGATGTAAGTTTATATTCTGACCTCTCGTGGTCTTCTCATATTTTGCAGTTATCAAAGAAGGCTTTCCGTCTGACATTATTATTAATAGCTTTATTCCATATTATATTTTTAGTAGAATGTAAAATTCTCAGCAAAATGTATTTCAACGAGTTTCTTTTAGAAAAAAGAAAAAAGTGGAAAAACTGATAGCTGCATACATGTATGCGTAAACTCAATAAATAAACTATCCGGAATGAGAAGAATGAAGAATATTTGAATCTGTACAATTTTTCCAATTAGAAACATGTTTAAGAATACAAGTTATTGACTGGGTAAACTCTAACAACCTGTTCGTCACCTTGTATATTTGGTAGATGAAGTATTATAGAGCTTTTATACTTCATAATGAGGTTGTATGTTTTTGGGATTACTCAAAATTTACCCATACGATTTGTTGATTCTTGCATATTACCTACTACTCTTTATTGTTCTCCATTATTCTTTCCTGGTCTTTTGAGAAAAGACTTTGCTGTATTGGGGAAATTACTAAAGATAGTTAACAGGGTGTGTGTTGAATCTTTTTGGGTCATTCTTATTATTATAGTTGTAGATAGACATTATACATCTTGCAAAATCCTGGCAGATTATATCACATTAGATGCTTCATTCATATCCTTCTCCTTGCAAATTTTTTGGTAAGACGATGCGCCAATACATTAGAATCCATGCACGCAAGCAGAGACGAAAAAGCTCTACAATACTTCATCTAACAAATATACAAGGTGACGAACAGGTTGTTAGAGTTTACCCAGTCAATAACTTGTATTTTTAAACATGTTTCTAATTGGAAAAATTGTACAGATTCAAATATTCTTCATTCTTCTCATTCCGGATAGTTTATTTATTGAGTTTACGCATACATGTATGCAGCTATCAGTTTTTCCACCTTTTTTTCTTTTTTTCTAAAAGAAACTCGTTGAAATACATTTTGCTAAGAATTTTACATTCTACTAAAAATATAATATGGGATAAAACCACCAATAATAATGATAATTTCAAAAGTAAAAATAATGATTCTTAAGTCTTTAAAAATATGTTCATTTACGCCATTTATACGATCATTATCATAAATACTCGAGCGTAATTGTCCACCAAATGCTAAAGTACCCGTGGCAAACTTTCTGTAAAATAATTGAGTAATTTTAATTGAAATCACGAACCAATTCTAGTTATACAATTGCTGAAAACCTGAAAGCACCGAAGACATTAGAAGGTAGTCAAGTAATGTCATGGAATGATTGGAGTTGAACAACCATACCACTGAATTCCAACTTTGTAGTTTGGACGTTAGGCGTTTTTGAGAAAAACCGAAGGTACTGGATCCAATTCTCGCTGGTGAGACCGTGAATGCACATTGGTGAGAAGTCCCATAGTAGAACAAAATGATTGTCTCGTACTTCAACGATTTTAATAGTTATCTAACTCATGTTGGTTTGTAATACCACTCAAATCCAACAATGATTGATTATCAACGGGAAACTTATCCACGCTAGATTGGTTGTGTGTAAGTCAACGATCAGTTTCGATATCACTCAGAAGTTTTAAATTACATATGATCAGTATTCAAGACCATGGAATGATAATCATGACGGTTCACTGACAAATAAATTATTATTCTGATTTCGAACTCGAAAGTTAGGATTATACTTCTTAAGTATACTTGAAAACAGTATTTCATATAGATGATCTACTAAACAGTAAAAAAGAGGCTTCTATGATCCTCATCTATGATAATGATGTACGTATCTAAATTGATTATTTCAAAAATAATTACTAGATTCTTAAGTTACATATGCAATTTTACTGTTTCTAGTTTGATTAATTCGCAAAACTACTCATAAATCAGTATTTTGAGATTGTGTTTTGAAAATAACAAAGGTAGAATTTTCGTTTACATTACAGCTTAAACAATTAAACATTGATACCTACCAAAAATGGCAACATAGTATATTTAATGTTATCTTTTATGATAACATTGTATTTGACTTCAATAACAAACTTTGTTAGTATTTTTCTTCTGATAAGTAGTGTGATAAATAGTTTCTGTTAGAAAAGTTATACGAATACCAAATCGATAACTAAAAAAATATAATATATTCTATGTGTCACATTGTTATTGATATAAAATATTTTAGAAAAGAAACGCATTTAATTGTAGTAAAATTAAATAATCTTATAATTGGTATCTAACTTTAAACTAGGTACTGATTATTTCGAACAATCAGCTAACTGAAATAGTACATTAGTATATCATTGAAGTTTACTATTCAGTATATGATTGTCATTCAGTTGGAAAAAAAACAATGTTAAAATTAGTGACTTATAATAAGTTCCTAATGAATTTACGAAGACCGTTAATGTTGAATTTCGTAACCGATCACCTTATGCAACAAAAATATACAAAATGTTTTACTAATTATATGTCAAGAAGCTACATCGCCAAAATTTCGAAAAAGTTTGACTAAATACCAAAACTATTATGCTCGTCATTGATTGGTCTGCCTTCAACAAGTTATGTGACTTGTCACAAATACTTGTCAGTGTGCAGGATACTTTGACACAACAGAGATTGAAAAATACCTTAAAATGATTGAAATAAAGAAATAATTTTAGTTGAATGATGAAATGATCAGTGCTATACATACAACTTTTAACGGCAGTCAGTCACGAAACCTTCGCAGAACTTTATAGGTTGGGTCATTTTAAAATGTGCTCATGAAAAGTAATTTGTTTTAAACTGTAAATCAAATAACCAAGCATACCTTTAAAATATTTCAATTGACTGTTAGATTAATGGAATAATTAGACAAAATAATTCCAACATAAAACATTTTTGCTTTAATCTTCTTTTGTTAATTACTTAAGTATTCTGTGGTTTTCTAAGTAATTTAGCATTTTATTATATTTTTTATTCATAGCTTATAAGTAAATGTGATTCAGAAAAAGCTCGTATGGAACAAAAAGAACGTCTTGTAGAAATTTGTAGAAGATTAGAATACAAATATGATGCAAAGGTAAATTCTATTTATTATTCAAATGAATTAATTGAATTTATTTTTTATAAAGATTATTCACATCTCTACCATAAATAAAATTATGTATTATGAATCTTTCTTGTTTTCAAAATAAAACAAAAATATGGGAAAATAATTTAAATCTTTAAAAAATAATATTCTAGTCTTAAAGAATAAATTAATCTAAATAAAAAGATTTCTAATAGATTATTTAAAACGTTATGTGAGTTCCTTCTGCCCGTAATATCTTGTATACATCAGGACGCGATGTGTAAATATTCATGAAACAACTATCATTCTGATATTTTTTTATTTATATGAACAATATCAATCTTGTTTCCTTTGTTTATTTCTGCTCATTCCTAGCAATACATTTTACCTCTGTAACTGATATGTAGTATCTTTGATTAATAACAATCCAATAAAACCACATATCCACGTACATACTATCCTTCTATGTTTGTATATTGAGTTGAATCCACAAAATCTCAACTTAAATATACTATGGAATTTTTGACAACCCATGTGTTACGTGTACGAAACATGAGCAAAGAACTCAACCTATGTGACAATGAAAATTCGTTGATACTGTTCACTTGTCATTATGTTTTCTTACCGGTTGTACTATAAAAAATGACTTTTAAATCTACTATTTCTTCGAAGACTAATAGCGATATCTTTATCTTGTTTAAAATTTGATCACATTTTTGTTTAGCAATCATTTCTATGTGTCATATATACCAGATACATTAAAACCTCAACATTCATTTCTTTGGAACAAAATTCATATTTTATTTGTAATAAACACAACCCGATTTCTTTACACTACTTGATCATATTTATTGGTTTTATCCATTTTACATCTTCATCTCAATTATTGTAAATTTATTTAAATTTTATGTATGCCTACTCGTAATAAAACAGTCCTTGGCTACGGAAAGTCGGACGCTTATAAAAGAAGGTGATCTACGTCTTTTAACAATGACCAATGTACAGGGTAGCGGATTCCACCGTCGTTTCAGCAGTATTCGTAAACCCAAAGCAACAATAGCAACTCTATTTCTATTTAGTGATTACTTATTAATTACCAAAAAGCGAAGGTAATGTGTACTTTTAGTTCTCCGTTTTATTTTTGTTTCAACTATTATTGTCCTCAACCACTGTATCACAGCAATTCTTTGAGAAGATTCACTACCATTTTATAATTTTGTCAAAATAATGACAGAACACAGTGATATAAGCCAACATCTATGTTTAGTACATCAATAAACTACATGATACATTCCAACAGGTTGTCAGGTTTTAATATTTAATAGTTGCAAGGCAACTTGAATTAATGTATTTGGAGGATGTAATCCTGTTTGATGTGGTTTTATTTTTTATGTCTTAACCAGTCTCCAATATAAATAGAATGAAGAGATAATCAAGTATTAACCGAAGTGGCTGATATCAATAACAACTACCCTGGCCCCTTAGAAGGACCGCAATACGTATTCCTCAGAACGACACTAAATTGATGATAGCTAGGCTTTTCAATTTAAAATCTTTATAGCAATGAACTTCATTCTAATGAGAACCAAAATGTACTCAGAAAACCCTTATCAAAGGTAAAGGTTTTATAATTATCTCTGTAAGTACTTGAATGGGAAGCGATTTATTATTTAAACTCATGTAACTCAAATAACATTTTGAGATGGAATCATTAATGTACACGTGCATATATCACTTACCAAATAAAAATGACTAACTATTTGTTGTAGTCCTCCTATTTGACTTTCTGCATTTATTGAGTAGTTTCACTACAAGTACTTGCTATCATCTTTTAATCTGTTATTATAGAATAAATAACATTAAATTCTTTATTAAACATTCACAAACAAAGTTATTGAAATTTAATGATTCTGAATTTCTATACTGTATTAAATCGAATTTTCTTCTGTGATAAAATTAATAATCCCTATTTCGCCAAGAAATAGATATTTCACAAAAAAACCTATTTGTTGACTTCATTTTCAAGATCTGTACAGTTGTATTCATATGAAATAACTGATGTGATGAACAAGTTGTTTGCATTGTACATGTGTATAATGTGCGAAATTCGTAGAAATCATTCTTATTAATAGGCGAATTAGTTTATAAAGAAATCATTAGACGGCCTAGAAATTACAACTTATACAATAGAGTAAATGTCAAGACACGAGTATTTGGTGCGAGATTATGGTGTGATCATTCAAGTAGATAGGTAAAAATCATTGTAATTAACTGTGGTCATATAATCCCTCGAATCGAATAAATTAAATTAAATGAATTCAACTGGGAAATGTCCGCATTTATTAAACTAAGGGAAATGAGATTACATTTGAATTATAGATAAAAAGAAGAAAATACAAAAACGAAACCAACCGCATGGAGAAAAGTAAAATTGTAATAAACGCTACCATTGACAAAGCTTTCATAGAAAAATATCTGACTCTAATTTAAGTATTCATGTATTAGTTTTCATGAAAATGAAGTATATGAATACGAGTTCACCAGATTAGGTTTAGTCTTCTACATAAGACCTAACGAAGAGTTCGCTACTACGCAGTTATTGTCAACTCCATGTGGCGTAAAATAAATGGTTTAGTTATTTTCATTTATTCTTTAGTGAGTCATCATAAGAACCACTCTCAATGAACTTAGTATATGCTTCCATAACGAAAATTTATATATATATTTCACACAAAAGACAGTTATCTACTCCTTTCACTTCCATTTATCATCAAATATGGAGAAACTGATCTTACACTGACCATTAGGAAATAAACTTACAAACATTCTAATATCAGTTTTTCAGTTCCTTGGAAACAAGAATGTAATTTAATTAACTCACTTTTTTTTATCTTTCATTCTTGATCAAAAATGTTCTTAAACATGTTTTTAAAATACCAGTTTCTGATAAGCCATTGTTTATTTTAAACAATGGCGTTGTCATTAACATCCTCATGATATGATCTAATAAAAGTCAGGAGAAATTCAGTTGCTTTTGTCATCGTCACGTTTAATTTATTTTAAATCATCAAAACTTTATACGTATTTTTCTAGATTTTAATTTACGAATCTCATTCATGTAGTTTAGCTACTAAATTCGGATGCTTAACCTTCTGCTAATCTTTTCTTCATTCAAGTAATCAGCATTTGTTGGTTGAAGACAGTTGTTCGTTGAACTATATTCACGTGGAGGCCCAAAATGCCTTACCGAATTGTTTTATCCACCACTTCTGCCGATCTGGGGATCCCAAATTAAATGCACAATTAAAACATGTGACTTATGTAAAAACGTTGAGTCTTCCTAAACAAACTGCTACTGAAAAAGGCAACGTAAATAATCAAAAACCCCGAAAATTTTCTACAGATACAAATAATACAGCGGATGTTGGGCTCAATGTATTTTCGTTTCTTTTAATAATAGAAGGCCCCGATCATCCACGTGTTCAATACGTGTTCCAAGCAGAAACACTGTAAGTATAACCACTTTTAAAAGTATTACTGAATTTTATAACGATTACAAACCTATCTAAGTCAAAACCAATGAAAAAGTAAGAGTACTAGACAGCTGTCTCGTCCAACTATGGGACTCTCCACCAGTGCACATTCACGACCCCACCACCAAAGATCGAACTCAAAACCTTCGTTCTGATCCACAAACGCTTAAACTCTAGACCACTTGACCGAGATCCGATAACTTATGAGAACGAAGGTCTTAGGTTTAACCCTTGGTGGCAGGTTCATGAATGCGCAGTTGTGAGAACTGCCATACTAGAAAGAAAAAACTGTCTAGTGTTTGCAAGTTCCTGATGGCTGTCTAACTTAAATCCGTTTTTGATCTTCACAGCCGCCTTCGTTTTATTCATACATTTATCACAATAAAGTGAAGTTTCGTGTTTTAAGCTTACCAACATAAATAAAAAAGTATTCATTTTCATATAACTTTCACCCCTATACACTTACATTTCATCTTTATTACGCACTTGTGGTTTATGCTATCAAGTACATTCAAGTTAATAATAGTTCAGTAAAGCTAACGACTTCTAGCTTAAACTACTTTATAACGCTAAGTACTTGGTTACAACTGCTTCGACTTGTCGAGCATTTCTTTGTAACTTATACTAACCAACTTATTATAAGTGGACATAATTCTCTCATATATAGTTTTTAGGATTGATTTTATCTATTATTATTACTTAAAGCATATGTAGAGACAACTGTCTAACCGTATGTTATTGTTCACACGGTCACAAGATTGATTTCATGCTTTATCTTTTCCAAAACGTACAAATAATACACTCGACGTGATAACTATGTATAAATACTGGCTCAATATAAACAAAAACATACGTTGACCATTATTGATTTGAGATATATAATAAATCATATTCATCATAGAAACTGAAAGTTAAATAATACTCCTTTACCGATGTTCAACTAATGCACACAGGTAAGTAGCAGTAAATTCCAATGATGTTTTCGTTTCTGTGAACTTTGCGTTATACTTCAGGAACTCATTGAGTGCCCTCAACGCAATGGGTTGATCACAGGATTTTAATATCTGAAAAATTCCCATAATTTTGTTATAATATAATGGGAATTTTTCAGAGATTAAAATAGCAGTAAATAAATTAAGGCAATACCAACATAAATGATTGGCTTTTAAAGATGTAAAAAAATAAAATCATGTTCAAAAATTGTAAAATCGCTTTGCTTACTTTTGGGATACAGGTTTTGTGTGACAAGTGTTTAATAGAGATTACTTTCTCATAAAAAGGCAGAGATGTTTCTGTCTATGCACGTATTATTTGTGAAGTTAATTATCTCAATCTTGTATCCTCTACCTGATATTTACCTTTTAATTATTCATAAAAATATTTGCACTCTCATACAGAACCGTCTGACTGAATTTTTGTAAAATTTGGTAAATAAAATATTAACTGTCTATTCTAAATACTAGATCCTCCCAAGTACATGAACTTCTTAAATACAGATGTCAGTTAAACTCACAAAGTCTTTTATTGTCTTTCATTGGTTTAATGATCAACCACTGTAGTATGCTTTCACTAGACAAGCTACTGAGAAGGTTAATTATAGCAAGCTGTCATTCACTTTTCAGTTTACTATATTTTACCCCTTTACGAGAACGAAAGAATAAAATTATCTGAACGATTAGTTTTGCAATGTTTTGTTCACCATATGTAATTATGTTTCTTAGGATATGTAGTATTTATAAATAAATAAAACTGATAAAACCATGTTGATAATACTGCTACCGAACTGATTCGACTCGACTCAGGAGAGAAGATTAAATCATTAGATGAAAATTTATTTGAATAGGGGTTTGTGGTGGTTGTAGTGACTTTAATAGATTTTAATCAACTCAAAAATTCAGCTATGAAAATTTATTCGACATAAGAAGTCTGGACACATTGATTTGTATGTATTATTTACACTGATTAATGTCCAGATTTTGAATGCAGGAAAATGAATATCATTTATCACTGATTAATTAATAACGTACTGTATAAATACAATTTACATTACCATAAGATTAAACTGTTACAACCGATAAATTCAATTAATTTAGTGAGTTGTATACTTATTCCTATGTTTCCATATCGTACTTACTCCTCTAAAAAAAAATTTGATTCGATTTTGCTTCTGGCTGAAGAACCAAAAACTTTAGCAGTTCGAGTATTTCTCATTCCACTTAGTTTTTTTATAATTATTCTGACTATACCATCTTTTGATGTTCATATAACCATTATGATCGTCGTAGTTTTAGACTGTTTATCCTTGATGAAAACCTACGAAAGAAAATGATTTTATTTTGTCGTCCAAGCCATATTCTTGTTTTGCTCAACAAATTGTTATTTTATCACTCAAATAATTCCAAATCAATGTGTCTGGAATTTGATTTAATCAAATTTAAGTACAGTTGAATAATAGTGACAAAAAGCTGGTTGTTAAAACCGGCATTTTTGTTTTGTTTTTTTATCTCATGGTTTCTGGATAGGAATCTTCATCTACTTTTGATTTCAAGGTCATCGTAATGCATCTGAACAACTTAGTAAACTATTGTGGGTTGAAATACATTAAAGCTTCAGGTCAAAATGACGCATTGCTATTGTGACAGGGATCGATAAATTAGTCTTACGAATACGTGTGCAGTTTCAGTACACAGTATTACATACTATACAAACAAGCTGAGAATATCTTATCTTATAATAACAACATAATTTTTTTTCAAGCTATTCACCTTTTATCAAGGGAATCAGCTTATAATTTGGTTAACAGGCCCAGAAAACATGTAGAACAATCCTCTTTCCAATTTATCATCACCATCATAAGTATAACTAATGGATAGTTACTTTAGTGTACTATAAACTATCTTCTCAGAAATCACTACATTGATATGTTGATGGATATTAGGATAGTAATAACTGCAACAATGAATCCACAGTGTAATAAATAGGAAACAATGGAATGAAATTATAAAACATAACTACTTTCATATGTTAATTATTTCGTTGTTCGTTTTGAACAATTACTTATCTGTATCCAATAATTACGTGTAATGAAAATCTTTTACTCATATTCAAACGGCAAACATATCCAAATAGATCAGCAAGATTTAATCTTCAGTAACAGAAATGAGATCTTTTTTGTCCTAACCATTACTCATAAAACTTCTTAATTTTTGTCGTTTTCAGTATAATGGATAGTAGCTATCTTTTGAAATTGTTATTTCCTAATAATCTCATTTCTTTCCAAACTTATGGTTCGACTAGCAAGTTATTTGATATCAGTTTAAACAGAATCGTCTACGGGACTCACCATTCAATACTAGAACACTGTGAAATGTATTTCTTAGTTTCAAGACTTTAAAACAAACAGTGCGAAATCTAGAACCAAAATTTACCCCGTAAAAATATTTTGTGATATCCACACATAATGATGAGAGTAGATGAATACAAATAAGTTGGGTCTAAATGGATTGTTTTATAACCATAGCTAAATTTGTATTTCTGAAACAGGCCATCGTAACAAATGATCTTACTATCTGCATGCATGGATTTTCTATTTCTACTCATTATAATATAATCAGTTTCCATCTTCTGAATTTCCAATTTAACATGTTCTGATAATCAACGACAAAAATATGTTTTTCAATACAGTAGTCTGTTAATTATCCATAAAACATTCATCTATAAATGTTTATGTGAGGAAAAAAGTACATAGCTAAATGTCTCACCATAAATCTTTTACGTTTTCTAAGATAAATTCCTTTCCCTTATTCAGAAGAAAGTGCAATAATCCACCTTTATTCCAAATGGCTTATTTAAATTATGTATCTAATGTTTTAATATATTTTCGGAATGTCAATAATATTATATTTTTTAATCTGGATTTTAGCCGCAAACCTCTCATTATTTCTCTAGACAACATCATCAGTATAAATTTTCTTCTATATAAACTATCTTGAAGAATTAAACTTGTTATTCTTTTAGAACATGTGACAAGATGAAGTAACTTCTATTACTTTTCTTTGTTTATCATTTTGTGATTTTCACTCAGTTCGAAAAGAGAACGATGGTTGGATGGTCTTTCATGTGGTCGTCATGGTATCCCTGAAAATCTAGGTTCGGACATCTGCGGTAAGTAATACTACATCAAGATTTATTCAGGGATAAAGCATCATATAGTGTAGATGAAAGTATAATAATTCCACCTTCCTTACTTACTTACTTACGCCTGACACTCCCAGTGGAGCATAGGCCACAGGCCAGCATTCTCCAACCCGAATTCCACTTTATTGATATGCATATACAGGAGGAATATGTTTGAAGCGAATTAAAAGGGAATGAAGAAGCTTGTTTGTTAACTACGCTGTGATTACGTTGCAATACATGGTCATTTAGTTCAGAATTCATGTTGCAGCATGAGTTGTAATGCTGCATTATGTTACATTATGATTACTGTGGTGTACTAACAGTAATTTATTTTCTATAATCGACCACAGTTTAATTATATACGGAATTTGTGATGCTACTAGTTTGCAGAGTGAATATTCGTGAGGATAAAATATGTTGAATCAGTAGACCAAATAAGACCATGAATATCCAGCTTTATAACAAGTTTCGTTGTTTCGACTAGGTACTTTTATAAAACTTTTTACTTGATTCGTTACGGATAATCAATAGAGCTGTTTTGTCTGTAATCGGATATTGTTATTAAAGTCGTTGATCTCAGTGAAATTTAAGGAAAATAAACGAAGAAAAACTACATAAGAGTTTTGAAATTTAAACGAATGGTTGATAAAACATACAACTTCATTGAAATTAGTAAATTGTTAACCAGCTGGTATTCTAAAAATTTTTGACTGAATAGGCACCTGATAACCAACTAAATCAGGTTTTGATACAAAAGATATTTCTATATAGATTACCGATGAACAGGTATAATTAATGAATTTTTATCCCCTGAGTTTGAAAAAAATATCTTTTACAAACCACACGAACATCATCTTATCCTTGTGGATCAATTTAATGCAATGTTCAATAAATGAGATTCGGTATGAACATGTATCCTACTAAAATTTATGACTTCGGTATTAGTAGATTCTTTTTGAGTATCTTCAGCTTGCATTATGACATCCCCATATGATATATATTCCTGTAAAAGCACTTTTCTTCTAGACACTGGTACTTGATTTTTTGTTACATAGAATAACTGAGATATTGGTCGAGTCAAAATCTCAAATACAATGTAAACACAGTATTATAAAACATTAAAATTTAGTTTAATCTCCATTGAAAAGCATTCAGTTGGCCGCCCATTCCATTAATTAGTTACAAAAGCTAGTGGAAACGAACTCACTTGGTGTTATTTGTTTGTATCTTCTCGTTGTTGTTTTGAACTGCAATTGATCAGTTTCTAGTTGGCATATGTGCATCCTGTGCGGACTGCCTCCATATTGTCTGGGTACTGGGTTCGAGTCCCAGAGCGAACATCAACTATGAGATGCAGGCACGTCCAGCTGACGAGTCCCAAATGGGACGAAACGTGTGTCCTGGATTCCACTGCTAGCCGCTATCCATCTTTGCTTATAAAACTATTTCTGAAGCTGAATATACAGTGACATCACTTACCCACTCTGAAAAGAGTGGTTGTAAAGGCCCACTTTGACACTCAAAATGATACAGAGATCTTTAGAATACTTACTTTCCGCACTTTCTTAGCTAGGTATAACGTAACACACGAGAATCCTTCAAATTGACGTAAAGTCAAAACTAAGCTATTAAATCGGTCTAACACGATGGCATCGTTACTTGAAGTAGCCCCCATCTGATGTTTGTTATTAAAGCTCTCAATTATTTAATGTAAAGTATAATTCTTTGTTGTACCTTAACGGCGAATTAAATAATGACTGTGTTGTTTGAACATATGATAGCTCACTAGCTGTTTCCATCAACAACTTACACCTAACTTGTATATAGTAGTGTCAGGTAATAATATGTGAGTCATACATTAACTAAAGTAACCCTCACAATTATTAGACCGTTTAAGCAAACAAAATGTATACTAACTTTTATGAATTAGTGGTATAAATGATATAACGATGTCGTAGACCGTTTCATGATAGTTTATGAATATAAATGGTAATTCGGACCTTTACAATAGTATTCCATAGGGCATTGAAAACTGGAGAACCTTGTAGTCTATTGTACAGCTTTATATACCAAAATAACTGAAAAAAGGAAATTTAGAAAATAAGAGTTAACTATAATGAGAGTTATTACAATGGTAATCATACAGAATATCATTTACTTCTAAGAAGGCATTTTACATATACTAAGGGAAGCTACCATTCTTGTTGAGTGTTTTTGGGTTTAAAATCGACAAAAATACGAGTAGTTATACTATAATCAATAGGTTCACAATGTATCTGGGTTTCATTTTTAGGTCAACATAAATCCATGAAATAAACAATTGATGAGGACGTCAGTGAAGCCAACCTGTAGGCTATTTGACAGTTGATGCATTATCTATAATCGAAAAATCTTGATTACCGTTTCATCAGAAACATCAGTTAAGTAATATTACAACAAACATACTGAAAGCCTCGAGTTGTAAACTGCAATAAGACATCGAAGTTTAATGATACGAGATCATTGAAACAATAGATAGAATTCAACGAAACTTCAACTGACAATTACCGACTAAATGTCCGATGAATAATTCAAATACACATCTTAAACTTTAGTGTTAATATCATAAAAACATACTTTGATTATGAATTAATGAATAAGCAATATTTTATATATAATCATAATGAAAATAAACTTTTAGAGGTCAAATATTATTTTAATCATCACTGATAATAGCTGTGCTGATATATTGGATGGTTAGTTTTTGGAATGTTTACGGAATAAATAATAATACAATTTAGAAACACAAATCATTTACAATTTGGAATTCAGTTGACCATATGAATTGTTCGTAAATACTGTACTCTTATTTCTACTTTTTTTTATCTTATTACACAGAATGTCCTCAAGTACTCATCACTAAATCTTATTCTGCTATTGAATGTGATGAACTAGAATTAAAAGAGGGAGATCAAGTTAATGTGCTTGTCAGCTTATCAGATGGTATTCTTCAATTATTTTCACTTTATTATTTATATGACTACTTTTTTAATATTTTTAATCACCATTCACCAAAGCTGGTTTCTAGTTATCTTTGTCGGAAATGATAATATATGCTGAAGTTAAAATATAGTCGTTTTTTCATGTGCACTCATTTGTTGTCACAGCACTCTTGACATTGCCTTATGTATTTATTGTCAGACTATGCGAATTAAATACCATACTACGCATGAACTTGAGCTTAGATTCATATCCCAGCAATTTACAAATAAATAAATAAATTGACATGGTTTATTCTTCTGTAGTTTGTCTTGTTATTTCACCTTCAAAAGATAGCTTCTGTTAGCAATTTATAAGACGTCAGTAGAAAGTTAAACCTCTAAATTCGTCAGCACCTTGCACACACTGATTAATAACTCCGAAGCTTTTTGTTATTTTCACAGAGAAAGCCTCGTATTCTCAGTTACTTAGAGATATTGGTCAAGGTCTTATTGTAATGGATGAAAATACATGTGGGAATAACCAGTTGTGCCTTAATATAAAATTACAGAGTTATTTGGTCAAATGTGAGAACCATACAATCAGCACTTCATTTGCAAATACTCCATCAATTGTCTCAAACTTCGTCATTCCTTCAATGACATAACAATTACTCTGTTTTCATCCTCTTCCATTCGATCTTCCCAACATTCTGCTGCCAGGCATTCCACTTCTGACTGTTGTTATATACTACTTATGTCAACATATGTATCATACATCGAAGCTGAATGTTTCAGAAAACATTTTACGGTTTCTCAACTGATTAGCCACTGAGATCCATCTGTTCAGCCTCAGTCAACGAACACTCAGTATTGATTCAAACCACTGAATCAAAAATATAATGGTCCACACTTCCGAGCAAACAACTTGGGTTATTAGTGATATTTATCTCACTAGCGATTTGATTATATATCAGTAATTTTGAAATAAGAACTCCGTAAATCAGCATAAACAACTGCTTCCCATGAGAAAAATATATTAATTAGTATAAACTGCATTGCAATTGATTGATAACTTTAAAGTGGTGGAATAAACAGTGTTTCTGAAGCTGAATCCACACGTTAAGTGTTTGAAGATAGTCGATAGTAAATCCTTGATCCAGCTTTCGTGTTACATGCTATCCATCAGAAAAGCGCACCTATAGTCTTGAGGGGGCCAGTGGTCCATACGGAACCTTATCCCGTACTACCAAACCTGACAGTCAGAGACTATATCAGTGAGCTGTTCGAAGAGCGGCTGACTTTTTATAGGACTGAGCTGTTTACAGTTGATTGATCTCTAGGTAGAAATCAATATCACGTATGTTCAATCCTTAAAGTACTGATGGAAATCTATCGATAAACATATTTGCGACAATGTAAGTTGACTTATTCACTTATTAACGTAATTCATTCCAAACTTGGTCTTCTTTACACTTGCATTTACGTTTACAAAGATTCTTGAACTTAACCTTGATATAAAACGCTATGAGATAATTATAATAGACAACTTTTAAGGTTAACACATTTATTCCAAAAAGTATTAACGATCTGAATTTGTTCAAAAGTCATTAAGTGCATTCATGTCTCAACATTTTCACTGGTTCTTAAAAACCTTTTTTTATAACACACATACTTTTAAGGATCACCAAAACTTACACGACTTAATTCACAGAAATATGGTCCTGATACCCACTGCTTGATATTATACCAGGAAATTCAGCACCTCCTATAAAAACTGTAACCGAAATTAATCTTATAAATGGGTAAACTCATTACTTAATTAGAGGAAAAAATATTTTATTGTAATTATTTATATAATAATATAGGACACTAGTAAAAGTTTGTATTATCTTGTTGCTGGTGGTTAACTGGACTCAGTGATTTAGTGCAAAACGAATATGACTTGGAATTGATTTACACTGAGTTCTAGTCTCGGTGTGAATAGCCCTGTTATGTCCAGCTAAAAAAATTACAGATAGGAAGGAATATGCATTCAATATTCCACTGCTAGCCACAATCCCAAGAATATTAATGGTGTAAGAGATCGATACACATTTAGCATTAAAGTTGCTGCAAGGATCATTAAATATTGGTCAATAATTTTCTCTAAAAGAATATGTAATAAATATCATAACTTTTCAAAATAGCTCAAAATATTTTTATTTTACAGGAATAGTGATCCTTAAAAGTACATGTTAAATACATTTGACTGGATTCCCTAAATTTATTTATCTGATGTCCTCAGAAGAGAACGAGAATAACATAAATCTAATCGTTACATCGTTTTTTAAATCCCTTATAGGCTGGCTCAAAGGAGCATTACCTGACGGTAGACGTGGATGGTTTCCAAGTCATATTTGTACTGAAGTCAAAGACTCATCAATGAAACGTGAAAATATGAAAAATTTTATGCTTATGGAAGAAGCTAAAGCAGCCTACAGCGTGAGAAAAAGCCGTGAAACATTTGATGGTTTTCCTAAAATGAAAGATATTCGAAATAGTAATCGAGACTTCGGAAAAATTAGACCAAGATAATACAACAAATATGAAGAACGATGATGAACTACTTAGCTAGTAAACGAAATTGTTTTTTTTTACTCTTTCCTCTCTTTTCATAACCTTTCTTTTTTCATACTGAATGACCAAGATGTAATACTAGACAAAGTGTTGCCTAGCAATAATCCTAGGAAAATCATAATCTTTATTTTACTTGCTTTTTATTTTTAAATAAACGACAACATAAATAACAATCGCTGTTCACCATTTACTTGTTAATGAATATAACACTCAAAGAGTATAACAAATATAACCATCTTTAAACTTGTAAAGTTTCTGTTAATTTTAAATATTTAAATGTGGAACTTTTTCAAAATATTCCAACTGAATCAAATCTATTATCAGCAATCGGACTTTAATTATGTACAAACTTTCAATTTTTAAACTACGATTTTGATAGGTCATTGAAACTGTTTTACTATTACCCGAGAATCCCCTCACACTAATCTTATTGATGAATAGTAATTCTTTTTACGAGTAACTACTATTTGTTCAGAATTCTTAAAAATAACGATATGAAAACATCCATAATCCTATAATAATTTGAATAGTAAGTAATAAATAAATATTTACAACCAGGTCTTAGTGTTTGTGTACAAAACAACCAGCTTCAACGTTTACCATCATCGTGACCATATGCCGGTCTTCGTGATATTTGTTCATTTATCAGTTGGATATTCTCATACATTTATTTCTAACATCCTTTCATATTACGTGACTAAACTTTACTCGTACGCGTATATGATAAACAAACCTCATGCCATGTTAACAAATCGACTGTTACTGTGTAAACAGTTATCAGGTCCATTTTACCCCTATAATACTAAGTTAGAATCTCATCTTACTTGAAAAGCTTAACGCTTTCTATGTACGCGATGGAATTAATTACTTTTATTCTCATGACACTTAAGAAATTATGCAAATCCACATACTGCTATGCGCGTACACTGGTAAACTGATGTTTAAATCAAACAACAAACATAGAAGACAATGAGACAGTTAATATCTGCCAGTCACTCAAGGTTTCAGTCATAAACCGTGACATATACCTAGTTTTTAATACTTTTAATGATTAATAATGACTGAACTACGTTTTTCCTTATAAATATATTCCTATAATATACTTTTGATTGTTCTGTGTATTTACTAGTTTATTAGCATTAAAATTAATCGGCCAAATGTAAATTAATTTGAAATTGCTCAAAACAAAACCACAAACAAAGTATACTAAGTTATTCATATAGCTATTTTTCGTTATTTCCAAAGCAGCACCAGGTTTGAAACTCATTTACGAAGATGTAACACGTTCCTTACAACAACCAAACATTTAAATTCAGTTTAAAATCTTATATTCAGATTGCATGCCAATCATATGCATTTGCCCTTCAATTGATTTCAGAGTGTTATTGAGGACCTCATTTGGTTACTTCTGTTTTGTTCAATACATCAGATAACTACTACCGTAAGTGGAGATCGCATTATTGAATTTATCTACGCGATAATTCGACTATTGGACTGGAAAGAAGGGCACCTCGTCAAGATTCCAAAGAAAGGAGGTCTGAACAAATGTGAAAACTATAGAGGCATTACACTGCTGTCAATACCAGGGAAGATCTTCAACAGTGTTGCTGAACCGGATGAAAGATGCAGTAGACGCCCAACTTCGAGATCAACAAGCTGGATTCCGTAAGGATCGATCATGCACAGACCAAATTGCAACACTACGGATCATCGTCGAACAATCAGTTGAGTGGAACTCATCACTATACATCAACTTCATTGATTATGAAAAAGCATTCGACAGTGTAGATAGGAGGACATTATGGAAACTTCTTCGACACTACGGAGTTCCTGAGAAGATTGTCAACATCATCCGGAACTCATACGACGGACTACAGTGCAAAGTCATGCATGGAGGACGGCTGACAGATGCATTCCAAGTAAGGACCGGAGTCAGACAAGGCTGTTTACTCTCTCCCTTCCTCTTTCTTCTGGTGGTCGACTGGATTATGAAGACCTCGACATCTGAAGGAAAACACGGAATACAATGGACAGCTCGAAATCAATTAGACGATTTGGACTTCGCAGATGACCTAGCACTCCTATCACGTACACACGAACAGATGCAGATGAATACAGCCAGTGTAGCAGCAGTCTCTGCATCAGTAGGCCTCAGCATACACAGGGAAAACCAAAGTCCTCAAATTCAAAGCGGAAAACAACAATCCAATCACTCTTGATGGCGAAACTCTGGAAAATGTAGAGTCCTTCACATACCTAGGAAACATCATCGATGAACAAGGAGGTTCAGATGCAGACGTAAAGGCAAGGATTGGCAAAGCAAGGACAGCATTCCTACAATTAAAGAACATACGGAACTCAAAACAACTTTCAACCAATATCAAAGTGAGAATCTTCAATACCAACGTCAAGGCTGTTCTACTGTATGGAGCTGAAACTTGGAGAACTACAACAACCACAATCAAGAAAGTACAAGTATTTATAAATAGCTGTCTACGCAAGATACTCAACATCCATTGGCCGGATACCATCAGCAATAGCGTTCTGTGGGAGAGAACAAACCAACTTCCAGCTGAAGAAGAAATTAGGAAAAGACGATGGAAAGGGATAGGACATACATTACGCAAATCGTCAAAATGCATCACGAGGCAAGCCCTAACTTGGAATCCTGAAGGGAAGCGAAAAAGAGGAAGGCCAAAGAACACATTGGGTCGGATAATAGAAGTAGATATGAAAACGATGAATTACAACTGGACGGAGCTAGAAAGGATTGCCCAGGACAGGGTTGGATGGAGAATGCTGGTGAGCGGCCTATACTCCTTCACGAGGAGTAACAGGCGTAAGTAAGTAAGTAAGTAAGTAAGTAAGTAAGTAAGTAAGTAAGTAAGTAAGTAAGTAAGTAAGTAAGTAAGTAAGTAAGTAAGTAAGTAAGTAAGTAAGTAAGTAAGTAAGTAAGTAAGTAAGTAAGTAAGTAAGTAAGTAAGTAAGTAAGTAAGTAAGTAAGTAAGTAAGTAAGTAAGTAAGTAAGTAAGTAAGTAAGTAAGTAAGTAAGTAAGTAAGTAAGTAAGTAAGTAAGTAAGTAAGTAAGTAAGTAAGTAAGTAAGTAAGTAAGTAAGTAAGTAAGTAAGTAAGTAAGTAAGTAAGTAAGTAAGTAAGTAAGTAAGTAAGTAAGTAAGTAAGTAAGTAAGTAAGTAAGTAAGTAAGTAAGTAAGTAAGTAAGTAAGTAAGTAAGTAAGTAAGTAAGTAAGTAAGTAAGTAAGTAAGTAAGTAAGTAAGTAAGTAAGTAAGTAAGTAAGTAAGTAAGTAAGTAAGTAAGTAAGTAAGTAAGTAAGTAAGTAAGTAAGTAAGTAAGTAAGTAAGTAAGTAAGTAAGTAAGTAAGTAAGTAAGTAAGTAAGTAAGTAAGTAAGTAAGTAAGTAAGTAAGTAAGTAAGTAAGTAAGTAAGTAAGTAAGTAAGTAAGTAAGTAAGTAAGTAAGTAAGTAAGTAAGTAAGTAAGTAAGTAAGTAAGTAAGTAAGTAAGTAAGTAAGTAAGTAAGTAAGTAAGTAAGTAAGTAAGTAAGTAAGTAAGTAAGTAAGTAAGTAAGTAAGTAAGTAAGTAAGTAAGTAAGTAAGTAAGTAAGTAAGTAAGTAAGTAAGTAAGTAAGTAAGTAAGTAAGTAAGTAAGTAAGTAAGTAAGTAAGTAAGTAAGTAAGTAAGTAAGTAAGTAAGTAAGTAAGTAAGTAAGTAAGTAAGTAAGTAAGTAAGTAAGTAAGTAAGTAAGTAAGTAAGTAAGTAAGTAAGTAAGTAAGTAAGTAAGTAAGTAAGTAAGTAAGTAAGTAAGTAAGTAAGTAAGTAAGTAAGTAAGTAAGTAAGTAAGTAAGTAAGTAAGTAAGTAAGTAAGTAAGTAAGTAAGTAAGTAAGTAAGTAAGTAAGTAAGTAAGTAAGTAAGTAAGTAAGTAAGTAAGTAAGTAAGTAAGTAAGTAAGTAAGTAAGTAAGTATCGTTTACGGTGAGATTATATAAATTATCTATAGTGGCATTTTCAGCATTCACAGAATGATGAATAAGTTCAAAGTAACCGGTGAGACATGCCGTTGACTCACTCTACCCCTTGGAGTATTCACTTAGTATGTTCTACAACAACTATTAAATATGTAAGAGCTAATCAGAAACAATAATTAATACATTATTTTTGACGAGGATGACATAATCCTTATTATCCATAGGTATCTAAATCCATGTTCTATGTAGGTTTGTGCATACATTACGCCTTCAATGTTAAGTCATAAAAACTGGAATACTATAGACACCTTAAGCGCGATTGAAGTAAATATCTTAAAGAATATTAACTCTAAATCGTTTATACTCAGCTACATTTTATAAAAACTCGATTAGCAAAAGATCAAAATCCACTGAAGAAACAAAATTATTGACATTAACCGGTAATAACATCGATTAAACCGGTACACGGGAATAGTAATTATAATAAAGCTAGAAGTAAACTTAATACATGATTCCTTAGGAAATGACAAGTGGAAGCTTGAAATGCAAGAAAAAGAAAAAGAGAAAAATAAAGAGAAAATTAACAGCACAGCAAAATTACTGTTGTTAATAATAACTTGTGACAAAGATTTTTAAATCGATTCATAACAATTATTATAATGACTAGTAGTTAATCATCGAGAATAAATAAAGAAAAGCACCTGTAAACCTTAAAAGATGAACGTACATAAAGCAACTCCATAAAACACAAAGCAAAAACAAAAAAAA